GATTTACACTAGGATTTGTGGCCATTTATAAGAACAAAAGAAAAACAAGTAGATAAACATCAAACTCTGGAAAAATACAAAAAAGATCAAGAATAAGAAATTAGATTAAAATAGAAAAAGAGTAACCACCAGGCTCCGTGGCGCACACCTATAATCCCAAAAACTTTAGGAGGCCAATGCAAGAGGATGGCTTGAGCCCAGGATTTCAAGACCAGCCAGGGAAATGTTGGGAAACCCAATATTTATAAAAAATACAAGAAGAAGAAGAAAAAATTATATTTCACAATTTATTATTTGTCATGATGTGAAGCTTGAATCTTTATATTAAATCTTTTTCCTTTGACAAATACTAAAACATTAGAATACAGATAAGCAGACAACCAAGCCCACATAATTATTAAAACTGAACTCAATTTTTTTTTTTTTTTTTTTTTGAGACGGAGTCTCGCTCTGTCACCCAGGCTGGAGTGCAGGGGTAGGATCTCTGCTCACTGCCACCTCCAGCTCCTGGTTTCAAGCAATTCTCCTGCCTCAGTCTCCCAAGTAGCTGGGATTACAGGCGCCCGCCACTATGACCAGCTAATTTTTTGTATTTTTAGTAGAGATGGGGTTTCACCATATTGGCCAGGCTGGTCTTGAACCAGCCTGACCTCACTCAGGTGATCTGCCCACCTCGGCCTCCCAAAGTGCTGGGATTATAGGTGTGAGCCACCGCAGCCAGCCTGAACCCAATTTTAATAGGAGATTTCTCACAACTACAGCAAAAATTTCGGGCAATTCATAATCTGCTTTGTCCATAAGGAAAAGGCAATTTCTCAGGGGAAGCAAAGCTCTTTCTGAAATAAATCTGAATAAAATTTCTTTTGGACAGACTGATGTAATATGCTTCTTCATCTACAAAAATGACATAGCAGACCTCATTCAGTTGTTGTGTGATTTTAAAAAATTAGTGCAGGAAAATGATAAATTATCTCACTTTACATGGCTTAAAGTCTTAAACTTTTGAAAATTCAAGCTAGAGTAAATAAAACAAGAGTTGGCTAAAACTACTGGTGACACCCAACGTTATCAGCTTCAAACATCAAGGTGAGGCCCTAACATTTTCAATGTGGACTTGTAGTAGATACTTAAGCCTAGGTGAATTTTCTAGAAACAAATGGGTAACAAGCACTCTCTCGTATCTCATACATGTTTTTATTATTATAGTTACAGCACTGTAATTTACAGTCTCTAAGATGTGCATTCCACATCTTATTATGTATTCAACAAGTGTTCACCGAATACTCAATAAGTGTTCACTGAATTAAATAGCACTGATGTAAATAAAACCAAAGTCAACAAAATGCTGTATTACAACAGTGAGAGAGCTATTACAGTCCATAACTCCCACCAACAGGGGAGACTAAGAATGTGAAACATGTCCCAGAGCACTGAAGCCTTCCAGAGATAGCTACTTGATTTTTTCCATTGAAGTATTTAGTCTTATGGCATTTCATGTGCTCCAGAATTAGACCATTCCATAAAGACAGAAATATCTGCACTGGCTAAGCACAAAGCCTAATTCAGTTGACCTTTAAACATGTGGCGGTTAGAGACACCAACCCTCAAGCAGTCAGAAACTCGCATACAACTTTTGACTCCCCAAAACGTAACTACTAAAAGCCTACTGTTGACCAGAAGCCTTACTGATAACATGAACAGTTGATTAACACATATTTTGTATATGTATTATATACTGTATTCTTCAATAAAGTAAGCTAGAGAAATTGTTAAATCATTAGGAAGGAAAAATATATTTACTATTCATTAAGTGGAAGTTGATCATCATAAAGGTCTTCATCCTCATAGTCTTCATATTGAGTAGGCTGAGGAAAAAGAGGAATGGTTGATTTTGCTGTCTTCAACGTGGCAGAGTTGGAAGAAAATCCATGTGTAAGTGCACCCACGCAGTTAAAACCTATGTTGTTCAAGGGTCAACTGCACATTACATACTTAACATTTAAATTATCTGGGCTGGTAGGGATGTGCATTCAGGAAAGTAATTAATAATTTTCTTTTTTTCTTATAAATGGCCACATATATCTAGTGTAAATCACACCAAATAATATTTAAAAAACAAAAAACAAAAAACTTAAAAGTTGTAAGAATAAACCCCTGGGGGAACTTTTTGGGGCAAGGACCCAGTGAAATAGATACTTCCCCAACTGGAATTCCTGAGGAGTGGAAATAATACACACAGGTTTAGTGGGTCTTGAATTATCTTGTAATTCAAGGTAAACCTTCTCTGTGACAGTTTCCTAAAGCGAACTGGTTTTGATGAACATCATTCTGTATTACACATACTGCTGTCTTAGTAAATAGTCTACTAAACACAAGCTAAACTTTAGCTAATGACAGAGACATCATGAAGATGCTTTATCATGTTTTTAAAATGTCACCAGAAACTGATGTGCTGTTAAGTTCTATTTGTTCTTTCCCTTCCTAGTGATTCTACCATTATCCAGACTGAATCCCAGTGTCCCCTTTTCTAATTTTTTTCACAACTTTTGCTTTTTCCCCTTCTTCTTCACTTTTTTTTTCCATCCCTGTCCTTCATTGCCTGTGATAGGAGTGGGGCTTACTTTTCATCACCGTCAGTAGCCAGGGAGGGCATTCTTTTCCTTCTGCTTTTGAAAGATGATCAGTAACAACATATATTCCGTAACCTTGTCTTTTTATTCTAATCAGTGATTTTTGTCATTGGTAACTGTTCTGAACTTCTTCAGTTTTTCCTACATTCTTTGTTCCAGACAACTGAAGGTGCCTGGAGATATACAGGAGAGGGTGAGTACTAAGAAGTCAAAGCGCTTTTTTACTATTATTTTCCTTATATACGCACTCACTTTTCTGTTTTCACTTAATTTTCAAAATACTGTGCGGAAACTTCTACTAATGACTTACTAAATAGCTCAGTTCCTACATCGAGTCCTTAAAAGATTCTGGAAAAGAGGTAAGTTGCAGAGCAAAAAAGTATCTCAATCCACTTTTTTTTTTTTTGCTGTAACAGAATACCTGAGACTGGGCAATTTGTAAAGAAAAGAGATTTATTTTGGCTCATGATTGCAAAGGCTAAGGAGTCGAAGATCAGGCAGGCCATCTGATGAGGGCCTCACGCTGCTTCAACTCATGGTGGAAAGCAGATGGTGAACTGAGGAGGGCAAAGAGAACAGAACACAAGAAGCATCCTCACTTTGTAACAACCCACTCTTGTGAGAATTCATCCATTCCTGCAAGAGTGAATCCATTCCAGAACTAACTGAGCCTCATGAGAAAGCCCTTAATCCATCGCAATGACCTAATCATCTCTTAAAGGCACCACCTACCAACACAATCAAACTGGGGACTCAGGCCTCAGCATGAATCTTGGTGAGGACAAACCATATCCAAACCATAGTAGGAAGTTTAAAAAAGCACGTGGGGAAAGCCTCAGTGGAAACAAAAACTTCTAGACCAGCTACCATTAATGCATATAATATGCGGAGGCTACATTCTTTTAGGCTATAAGGATCTTTAAAAGTTAATAAACGTGCTATCAACGTAGAAAGGCTGAAGTTTCTCTTCCTTTTTAAATGTTTCGCTTTGTCTATTATCCACTATCATTTTAGGAAAGCATTTAATAAAAATAAAACCTTTAACTATTTCTATTGTATAATACAAAAGGTTTTAAGATTATTCTTCTCCCTCAAAGTATATTCACTTTTTAAATACACACACACACACATATATATATATATTTTAGAGAGATGAGCTTTCACCATGTTGCCCAGGCTGGCCCTGGGCTCAAAATATCTGCCCGCTTCAGCCCAAAGTGCTGGGATTATTGGCATGAGCCATCGCACCCGGGATCTTCACTCTTACTTATAGCAAAGTAAAGTAATAAATGCTGGAAAACACCCAAGTTCTTTTTGTATGGAATTTGGCTTAAGGAACCCAGTGCTCAACCCACCTTGTAAGTTCATGAAACAGAGCAAAATATGTACCCTAAACCTAGGTTCTGAATCTTTCTGCATATTTTAACATCAGTTCTATTTATGGAATTTGCGTTTGTTTTCCTGGTGTGGAAGAGTATTTGAGGTAGGGTGAAACAAAGGCAGGTTGAGATACCTGTGATTAATAAAAGTAAAACACTTTCAAACTAGTCGACTTAATTCATTTCTTCAATCTCATAGTGCACACCCACCAGGTTCTTTAATTATGGAAAGATGGTCTTTCTGCGTCCAGAGAAAACATCTGGTATTATACTGAAAACTTAGTGAAATCTATAAAACACTATTACTTTATGTCATCCAACAGGGCATGAAAATAATTGTTACAAAAAATATTTTTGTATTTTTGTAATAGGATTTTACCTGTAACAATAGTAAAAGCTCACATTTACTGAGTGACCAGTATGTGTCAGATAATTAAGAATTTTACATGGATTGACTTAATCCTCCCAACAACCCTATAAATTAGATGTGATTACCATTAACCCTGTTTTATAGATGGAAAGTAAGCTTGGGTAATTTAAGCTCATTTCCATTCTACAACAGGATTCAAACATGAGGTGTCAGTTAGCATGCTTAATCTCCATGCTACACTGTGTTCCTGCCTATGTAGAAAGATGAGTATCTACCCACCTGTGTAGAAATATGAGTATGCTCCATTCAGGTAAAATCCCATCTCCTGTCAGATTTTTCTCTCTTGCAGCTCATTTAAAATACATTCTGAAAGTATTTGATCATAGATGTAATGCCTTTAAAGTATAGTTTTTGACTTAAAAATTAAATATTTTCCCTATTAACATTTTTAAATTTTTACTCTGTCCAAAAATGAATATATAAAACATTTGAAACATGTTAAAAACAGAATAAGACAAAAATATCGTGTTTTAAAGGAACATATCTGGTTAGTTGGTATTCCACTGAACGTATCTTATAACAAACACAAATTTTAATTTTTCATTTAACAACACTAAAGAATGAGGTATATAAATGTTTTAATCACAGACTTTTACTGTATGCAATTGTATTTCACAACTAGCATCTTACAAAAAAGACAGTACCACTGTGCCTGTAAAAAGTACTGTAATTAAACAGAAAATTACATTACCACACGAAACCACCATATCACAACTGTTAGGGTCTACAGTTTTATTTTTTCTTCAAATGTTATCATGATGTCTTATGTGATATTTTGTATCCACATTCTATTTTTAAGTCCATTTACAATTCAAAAGTCTCCTATAGGTAGATATCTATTAAGCAAATGGTTAAGAGAAAGCAGGAGACCCCAAGAGAATTTAAGTACTGTGTGGTTTCCAGGTTGAAATTCTAAATACTAAATAAAACACTTTAATAGTCATAAACAAAAAGGCAAAATCTGTAGTCATAAAAATATTTTATTGGTAATTTTACATAGTATAAGTGGGGCTATACTTTTTTCCTTTCAGGATACTGAGAAATGTGTAAACTGGTAGTTGTGTCTGAAAATAGGGTACTATGATTTTCATAAGAATTGTTATATTTAGTAAGAGGCCAATTAGACTGATTTAAAATTAGCTATTTCCCATTTCTGTGCAACAATTCCCATTTCTGTTTTAATTAGATTCATGCATGTATGGCCCTGGATAAGTTTGGGACAAGAAAACAGTGATAAAACTATCATTAAGTTAAAGCTTTTCTAAAATTGCAGCTTGTAAAATATGGCAAGTTTCTTTTCTCGTTTTTGCCAAATGCTTATAATTATTTGAATTTTAATGTTTTATATGATACAGAAAATACCAGTGTACAATGACAATAGCACTAAACCTGAATTATAAAGCTAAATAATCAATGCTTTATTGTTTACTAGTCTGCTAGTAAACATTACAATAAATGAATGTTTTGAAAAATAAGCAAACAAAAAAACCTCAACATATGGATAAAGCCAGAAACATAATTCAGGAACAATAATTAGTAAAACGTGTCAAAAACATTGGCAAAGGTTCATACAAATTCTTTATTTAATAACAATTTTCCTATTTAACCACACCAAGTACCAGCAGGTGTATTTAAGAGGATAACCATTAAGAAAAACCTGTTGCAGCAATAGTTAAGTTGATCTTTGACTTGTATACATATAACTATCTGTTTCACAATTTTCAAATAATACATATTTAGGCAGCTTGCACTATGTTATAAAAAATTTAAATTCGTTACATGCCAATAGTAGAGAATTCAAGAATTATGTGTTAGAATTCACTAAACTAAAAGTGAAAATACACTTACCAATAACACTGCATAATGAATAATTCAACCACATTTTCATGGCACTTAACTGCAGAGACCAAAATGTTAAGTCTGGAAATGTTTGGTAGGCATAGTTGCAATAAAATCTAACAAATTCTAACAAATTTCTATTTTATGTAAAACTCAAATTATGAATTGTGCATGAATGTATTTGTCATGAAAATGTGGTACCTCTTGGCATAATCTGTGTATTTGCATGGTAGGACAGAAGTGACTAAGAAACTGGAGAAAATAAACTTTAATGAGATTCTCCATTCAATGATGAGGCTTCTCCTCTGGGTGAAGATGACCTGGACATTCCTCTCTCTGTGTTATCAGAGCTAGAGCCGCTTTGACTGTGTTGATCTGCAGAAGCAGCACTAGATGCAGGTGGTGACTTTGTTTTCTCCTTAAAGTCTGTAATAATGACTGTCAGATCTCCAACTGTAACTTCCAAATGCTGAGCACTACTCCGATCCACATTTTTCAATCTTGGTCTAAACATAAAAAAAATGAAATTTTAAACTAGCTTTTCCCTCTACCAAATTTCTGAGCATATAATAAATACTAAAAGTAGGTGAAAGTAACAAAATGAATACACATATTTAAAGCAATTTATGTGTAACCAGCCACAAAAACATCATAAAATGTTTCAACTCATTAACATTAATCAAACCAATCATTCATGAATATTCTTCAATGCGACCAAAAACTGTGACAGCCTAGAAGTAGAACTTGTGCTTCTATAGCTGTATCATAATTTTGCAGACAGCTTATTAATTTTATTAAAATAGATGTTTTAGACAACAATGAAATAGCTGCACCATGGAGGAAGGTGATAAAAACTAAGGTTGAGCTACATGCAAGGAAGATTGTTACTCCACTGACACACACTAATAAGGGTATCATGATTGTTCTGACTGAACACATGACCATTTTGATAGGTTAAAACCCATGCAATTATCTGTTCGGTATTTTGAAAACCACTCCTGGTTCAAATAGCTCTTCTTAAGGGAAAAACAAAACAAAACAAAACACCCAGACACAATGTCTTCCAATCTAGTACAAAGAAAAAAGCATCACCACATTTAAGCTTGTATTTGTGGCTTCTGTGTTTAATTTCCAAAGTATCTTTCAAACTCAGTAAAACCTTTTCTGATACCTTAAAATAAAGGAAACCAAATATTTTACTTCCACTTTGTGTGTATTAGTATATCAATGGTTAAAAAATTAAATGGTTTTATTATTTCAAAAATGTCATAAAACACTCTTCAAATTTACCTGGTTTTCTTATGGCTATTCTTTTTGCTAGTTGTTTCTTTTTCATTTTTTTCTTTTTCTACTTTATCTTTTTTCTCTTTCTTTGACTGTGTAGGAGGCACAAACTGCTGAGTAACCTGCTGTGCAACCAACTGGGAGACAGGTCGAGGTTTCCTGTGTGCATGTTAAAAAGAAAGGTATTTTAAATTATAACTTAAAACGTAAGTGCTTTGTGAGAGAATATCTCACATTATGAAAACAAATTAATAATACAATAACTTTCAAGTATGTATCATTGTTTTTCCTGTTCAACAAAAACAGAACAAACTATAACAGTTAGAATTTATAGTCTAAGATATATGTTCAAACATTAGAATACTGTTACATAAATCAACATAAGAAATTATTTTAAATGTATACCAAACTAAATGGGATGTACCCATATAAACGTGAATTCTAAAAATCAAACTTCAAAGTTTACACTGAAATAATAATTTATCCCTCCTCCTTCAGAGAAGGAAATACCTAACCATTTGTGACAATGGCTATCTGTTTTTTAAAGCTTTTCATTTATTCATTTAATAAACATTTACTATCAAAATTTCTCACTCCTTATTGCTTAAATCCTTTAAGTTTCTTACATCTCCAGCCACAATCTCACTATGCTCTTTTGACCCTGGAAATCTACCCAGTCCTTTGAGACTCATCTACTTGCTAACTTACTCGTTTAGAAAGTATTTATTGAGAACCTACTGTAAGAACTGCTCAGGGATATCTGAAATGTTGCCTGGCTTCAACATCTGATGCTGGTACAAGCTTTCACCTGTCCACCTTTACCACAGAACTTGCACAACTGAGGTTAAGATTCAAAATACAGTCTCTAAGTTCTTGAGAGAGAAAGAAGGATACAGCAAGGAAAGAGGCAGAGGGAAGGAGGGAAGAAGTAAGATAAAAATACATTTTAACAGATGGCTCTACAAACAATAGTAACTTTATTGCATGAAAAATCCTGACCCTTTTTTGGTTAGTACAGTTTTTTAAAAATCTTTTTTCCCCCTGTTCCTCTGCAGCAAGACAACATAAAAAATAATGAGAAAATATTGTACAATCTAAGAATCAAAGCTGCCAGGCTGAGAGAAAATAGGAAACAGTATGTAAAGTAGGTTTCAGGAGATGGATAATGAATTTTGCTCAGGGCCTAGATAGTCTGAAGTACTGAAAGGATATCCAGGACAGATGTCCAATATACAACTTAAAAAACAGGACTGACATAAGAGTTTGAGATGTAGATTAAGAGTTGCACAAATAAAAGTGATATTGACAGTATGGTAGTTAATGGCTGAGGTTAAAAAAAGAAAAGGGTTAAGGCGGCAGTTTTCAAATTTAAGGTACATCAGAATCACCTAAAAGGCTTAGCTTGCTTAGCCTACCCTCAGGGTTTCTGATTTAGTAGGCCTTGAAGTAGAGCCCAAGAAACTGTATTTCTAACTAGTTTCCAAGTTATGCTGAGGTCTCTGGGGATCACACTTTAAAAAGAAGCATGAAGAAGTACAATATATCTGGTGAATACTGGTACTACTATAGGATAAAGTTTGAGATGGAGAGCAGAGTGGTAGAGAGAGTGAAAAAAAACCAAGTTGGATAGATAAGAAGGGATCCCACGATTAAAACCTAAGCAGTCTGATTTTATTCTTAAGTGATGAGAAGTCACTGAAGAAATTCAGACTTGAATTTTACAACAATTACTTGCATTAGTCTGAAATAGAAAGGTACTACACCACAGTAGAAGTAAAAATGTGAGACTAGTGGTCTAATAAGTGATCATGTAATCTCTGTACCTAGTGTTGTTTGTTGTTATTTTCTAACCATCAACAAATTTTCTGTAGTGGTTCTTTTTTTCTGTTCTTGAGTACATCGTTCTCTTTTCATCCTAGGCTTTCCTAAATGTATACTACACAACTATTCCACTTTTATTCTTACTTTAATGTGAAGGTTGATTTTCACTTAAAGATTACGATTTTGTACCTCAATTCTAGGATTATTTCATCTGGTTGAATTTTGAGAGAAAAGAAGCATAAAACATAAATGTAGTTTAATTTTTCAAATAAAGTTTAATTATTCAAATATAGTTTAATTATTCAACTAAAGTTCTCTGCTGCTCTGTAGGGCTAAAGAGCTTTCACTGAAGGTAGGAGGAACACAGTTTATGATGATCTTTTTACAATGTCATAAGTCACTCAACTCCATGTCCTATTAAAAAGAAAGCCCTTCTATCTCCAGATATCTTAAGGTTTATGATCCCTTTTCTATTTGATGAGAAAAATCAGGATAGGAGGAAATTTTAGAGGTGGGAAATAGCTAACTCAGGAAATAAAGGACAGAGTATCATTTATAAAATATACCTTTTTATGTTCACAGATTTATCATTCATGGTTTTGACAGTACACTTTTAGTAATGCCAAAGGATCCATGATGAGGAGTTGATGTGCACAAAATGGTTGCCTAGTTAATAAATGACTACTGACTAAGCCACTGGCCAACTACAGTCCATCATCTACTTATTAACATATGCCATTAGACTGTATTTGTCAGCTATGATATTCACCAATTTGGGGATCCCTATGTATCTTTCATAGACAGCCCAAATAGACTGTATAAAATTTGGCAGTCTATTCATTTACTATAATGTAAGAAAAGGGGGAGCATTTCATTACTTATTAGGACAAAATATTTTTGGGGCTAGCTGATCACCTGTGTGAGCAGGAGGTCAACGCATGTTGGTTTCATATATGTAGTTTTCAACTATGGTCTGCCTTCCACCCCCACGGACAAAAATCCCATGTGCTAAATATTATAGGAATAATATTTTAGGCTTGATCAACACTTCATCATAATTGAGCTTTGTCATGTTGGACAGGTAAGATGAAAGAAAGGAAAGAAAGACAAAGAATATTAAAAACAAAGATTGATTCTTTACTAAAAAGAGATAGCATAACTCAAATTTCAGAAAGAAGTATCTGCTTAATAACACCAAAATATATGGCAAATTGAAGCAACGTGGTAAATCTCATTGAATAAAAAAGGCTGGACTAAATCCAAACCTACTGTGAATCTGCTGATACTCTGGCTAACAAAAGCCCAAAAATCTAACCAAGGAAAGATTTTATAAAAAACCACCTGTTTACGGCCAGGCGTGGTGGCTCACGCCTGTAATCTCAGCACTTTGGGAGGCCAAGGCAGGCAGATCATTTGAGTCCAAGAGTTCAAGGCCAGCCTGGGCAACATAGTGAAACTCCACCTCTGCAAAAAAATACAGAAATTGGCCAAGCATAGTGGTACGTGCCTGTAGGAGGCTGAAGTGGAAAAATCGCTTGAACCCAGGAGGTGGAGGTTGCAGTGAGCCACGATCACACACACCACCGCATTCCAGCCTGGGTGACAGAGTGAGACCTTGTCTTCTGGAACAAAAAAAAGGAAAGAAACTACTTGTCCGACAGATTTTATTGCATATTTACATGTGTCAGGCACTAGGTAAGGTGCTGGAGATTAACCATCAACAAGACAAACACAGGCCCTGCCCTCATGCACTAAAAATTAAAAAGAAAAGAACTGTGTGTTGTGTTAGAGAAAACAGAAGGAGGAGTTATTATAGACAGAGAAGAAATAACTTCTGTCCGTGTTTAAATGGTCAGTATACCAGGGGAAACAAACATGACAATGGACCCTTTTAATTTTTTTTTTTTTTTTTGAGACGGAGTCTCGCTCTGTCGCCCAGGCTGGAGTGCAGTGGCCGGATCTCAGCTCACAGCAAGCTCCGCCTCCCGGGTTTACGCCATTCTCCTGCCTCAGCCTCCCGAGTAGCTGGGACTACAGGCGCCCGCCACCTCGCCCGGCTAGTTTTTTGTATTTTTTAGTAGAGACGGGGTTTCACCGTGTTAGCCAGGATGGTCTTGATCTCCTGACCTCGTGATCCGCCCGTCTCGGCCTCCCAAAGTGCTGGGATTACAGGCTTGAGCCACCGTACCCGGCCACAATGGACCCTTTTAATAAGAGAACAATGAAACAACTTCATTAAGCATTTTATTAAGACTTTAAAAGAGAGTAAACCCAATTTCTTATTCCATAATAACTTGGTTTTGAAGTTATCTAGACCTCGAATGGCCAAAAGGTGTTTTTTGGTTTGTTTTTGTTTTTTTGAGATAGCATCTCACTCTGTCAGGTTGGAGTACAGTGGCATGATCTCAGCTCACTGCAAGCTCTGCCTCTTGGGTTCATGCCATTCTCCTGCCTCAGCCTCCCAAGTAGCTGGGACTACAGGCAACCGCCACCACGCCCGGCTAGTTTTTTTTTGTTGTTTTTTTAGACGGGGGTTCACCGTGTTAGCCAGGATGGTCTTGATCTCCTGACCTCGTGATCCGCCCGTCTCGGCCTCCCAAAGTGCTGGGATTACAGGCTTGAGCCACCCCCATGTGCTAAATATTATAGGAATAATATTTTAACTGTCAGGCCTAATCCTAGAAACATTCATCTTTTAAGTACTGATTCTTGGTTTTAAATGCTATCTCTCTCTCTCTCTCTCTCTCTCTCTCTCTCTCTCTCTCTCTCTCTTTCTCTCTCTCTATCTATGAATGAGACAGTCACCCAGGCTGGAGTGTGGTGGCATGATCTTGGCTCAATGCAACATCTGGCCTCCTAGCTTCAAGCGAATCTCCTACCTCAGCCGAGTAGCTGGGATTACAAGCATGTGCCACCACGCCTGGCTAATTTTTTGTATTTTTAGGGGGTTTCACCCATGTTGGCCAGGTTGGTCTTGAACTCCCAGCCTCAGGTGATCTGCCTGCCTCGGCCTCCCAAAGTGCTGGGATTAGAGACATGAGTCATTGCGCCTGGCCTCAAATACATTTCTAATAGGTTTTAGCTTTTCTTTACTTCTACCACTTCTTGCACTTGTATCATAGGACACTTTACTTTTGAAACCCTTGACAACTCGTAATTTCTGGAAGAGACAGACATTCTCTCTGCTTCAAAATTACTATTTTCATTTGTAGATGAGGTACACACACCTACCTTCAGCATCAGTCCACTAATGAACTATGTCAAGTAAATTTTTGCGTCAAATATAGAAGAAAAAGAATTTTGTCACACGTCTCTAAAGCAAAACAAGATGCTCCAAG